GCGGGGCGCTGCGAGGCGCGGTGCCCGCACCCACTGCCCCTCCGCGTAGGGCCAAAGGGCATGCCAGCTGCTTCCAGGGATTCTGGTCTGGCAGCCAGCCACAGCCGCCCAGCCAGCCTGGCCTCCCCTGGCAATGCCCCTCGTTCCCAACCACCGCCCAGCCCTGAGCGCGTGGCCCCGTCCACAGACAGCCTGAGCCTGGAGACAGACAGCTCCCACATGCCCCTTCCTGGGGCCCAGGCCCACGGTGCACAGAGCCAGTGAGGGCAGGGCCATGCCCCCCCGCAGGCCGGACAAGGGCGCCATTGTAGGGACGGCGGGGGGAGGGAGGGCGGGGGAAGGAAGGGGGCTCAGCTTGGCCCTGGTAGAGGGGCCCCCGCCCCGCCCCCAGGGCCAGCGGCGCTCAGAGAAAGGTCCCATTGACTCCCACCGCTCTGACTCAGCCAGGCTGGGCCGGGGCAGGGAGGGCTGCCAGGTGTCGCCCACGCAGCCCCGGTTTGCTCCCTTCCAGCCTGGCGCAGCGCGCGCCCCGGGCAGCCAGGCGGACAGGGGAGCAGGGACCAGCAACACCGGCCTGTAAGCGGAGCTGGGCCAAGCTGCCAGCCCGCTCGCATTCCCAGCTGCAAGCCGAGCCCACGTCGCCCTGCGAGGCTCAGGGAAGGACGCTGCCCAACCCCCGGCTGGTGCTGAGGCCACGTACAGCCCCGCGCCTCGGGGAACTGAGGGACCCCACTTCCAGGCCCCTCCTGTACCCCAGTCCCCAGAGCACAGCAGCCCAGGGCAGGACCCGGCTCTGCATGGCCCCTGGAACCGTGGCTCTGGGGCAGGGGCTGGGTCCCAGATGCTGCCACCTGCAACATGGCAGCTGGCACGGGAGGGACCCGCTAGGCCACCCAGGGGCGTCTCCCCAGTTCCCGAACCCAGGGCAGCAAAGGGCAACGTGGGTCCAGCAGGCTTCAAGCCAGAGCCCCACGGCCAGCTCAGCCCTCCCCCGGCTGCGGGCAGAGTCTGGGGCAGCCCCAGTCAGACGGGCACGAGCCCCCCCGCACAGGCACCCACAACCAGGCGGGAGCACTGCGGGGGCAGGGCCAGCCCCATGGAGACCAGGCCTCCCAGGGCAGAGAACCGAGGCCTCAGCAGGGAGGGGGCTGGCTGGGCTGCTCCGCCAGCTGGGGCCCATTAGAGCCGGGAGCGGCGCGGCCACAGGCCCCGGCCCATCAAAGCGGGCACCTGGCTTCAATCAGCCGCGTCCCCCACTCGCCAGGGCGGGGGAGGGGAGCCTGCCGAGACGCTGTTCCAGGGCCCAGCCCCCACGCGGGGGGCACAGCCACCCCCAGTGACCAGGCCTCAGACCCCCAGTGCCAGGCACCCACCCCCGGCCGTGCCGGGAAACGGGCCCAACCAGCAGCCCCCACCCCCAGGCGAGGTAGGGCACCAGCAGTGGGGGAGCCTGGGAGGAGGGGCGGGGGTCGCACACGCCCTGCCCACACTCCAAGGGGCCGGCAGGGTCAGACCCCCAGGGCGAAAGCCAAGGGGGGATCAAAGGCGGGTTTGTGCCCCTCCCCCGGCTCCCAGAGCCCCCCCCACGGGC